TAATATATATATATATATATATATATATATATATATATATGTTTCATATTTTTACGTGGTTTTATTCATCTGTATATGCATAAATGCATGCATCGAGTTACTTTAATATCTTTTTTCCCATTCACCCTTGTAAATGGGAAGTCCTATATGCCAGTCTTTTTCTTATTTTGTGACTTGCTTCTCTTATTTTATTTACTATCAATAGTAGGATCATTCGATGAAAAAACAAATACATAAGATATTCTTACTTGTGACTTTACTGTCACTAGTAGTAGCTCAAATAGGAAGTGCGGGTGTCATTTTCAAGCCCTTGAATTCCATAGAGGACTCCCTGAAAGTGATAAAACAAACTGAATATAATCATATCTTATTTTTCTTTGATTCACTAGACGTGAATACTGATCGGGCTATGGGTCTACTAAAAAATATGGACACGCAAAAAAAAGATCTATTAATATACAGTGTAGACTGCCGTGAAAACTACACTGCTTGGCTTAGATCTTGTTTCAGAGTATCTTATTTTCCATCGCTGATTTTTTTCCATAAGCTAAGTCATGGCTCACGAAAAATAGAAAATTTTAATCCATTCGTCGTTAAACCCCAAGAGCTCCTTTAAAAGCCCAAGGACAATAAATATATACACATGTATATATATTCGCTATAATGTGTTATTCAGTATTCGACTACATATTTAAGCATCATCATGTGGTATTTTTGTTTTAATTTTTTTCATTCAGATGCTTTTTAGTTGAAAAGAGTTTCGATTCACTGGTCCATTGTCTATCGATTTTTTTTTAATGAAAGGGGAAGGAGTGCTCAATTATTGCATAACTAAACCTATTCTGGTAAAAAGTTGGCAATCAAGACACAAAATGTTACGTATAGCCATAGCAAGACTAAACAAGCACCCGTATAGTGTTGATCTAAAAATATTGAGTGAACAGAAGAAAAGGGAAACCAAACACAGCCGATTGTCTGTTTCAACCGTGTTTGGGAGATGCTCGCGGAAGGCCTGGGAAAAGACAAAGAGTCTGTATGGATTTTTTGTTCCTGAGGGATACAAAGGTGGTGCCGGTAGATAGCTGAGCTATTCATAAGAAGATTACATTATTACTATTGTTATTGAAAATTTTTTACATTGCACAATGATTATTGGCTTCAATATCATGATCAGATTGAAAGAATTACTCAACCGCATGTATATATATATATATATGCATATGTCTTGTGTGTTGATGCCACTGTTTGTCATTAAATATCTTTTTATTATTAGTCTCTCCTTTTTTACCTTAAAAAACAATCAAGAGATATCCTTCAAATATGTCCTTTACTGAGCGGTTCAAAACCTATGTCTCTCGCTCTGTGGGGAGTGCAGTCGGCCATTCATTGGTCGCTTCATCGAATCCACCAGCAGCCTCTTTCTCTCAAGCATATGGGTATACTAAACAAATTATGAAGACAGTCTTCGGGGAAAAGGAGTGGCAATGCCCATGTGGACACAAATTTCGCGCAGCGGGTGAATGGATTGCATGTGCCCCTATTTACTGTGAGGTGCCCTCATGTCCAAACCCTAAGTATTATATCGAGGGCCCCGGAAGAGCTCTCCTAGAGTCAAATCCCTCTGGTGTTAAACTTCAAGAAGTCAAAGACGACTCTGAGTCGATAGGCAACAGTGCAAGACAAGCTAAAGGAGTTGCCTCACGATTCAAGTAGTAGTAGGTGTAGGTGTTAGAAGTAATTTAGTTCCTATTCCTATTTATGCATTCTGGGCAAATCGTGGTGTATGGGCAGAATAACCAAAAAGTCAAAAGGTAGGTCCTAGTGTTAAAGCAGGACAACTGTGTGTGCTTGAACAATCCAAATTAAACAAAATAAATTAAAGGAAATCATTAGTATTGTATCGATTCAATTCAAATGTTTTTTTCTAACTGTCTTGATATTTAAGACTAAATTTTTATAGTGGATATTTGTGATCAAACTATATTTTTTATATTTATCTTGCCTATTCTAGCCCTTTAATAGCAACAGGAGTAGTGGGCCATTTGTAAAATATAAAGTAATAAAGAAAGGTTACATTTATTATCTGAGTTTTATGATGTCACTTGATTGTAAAATACGCTCCCCCTGCATTAATGAAGCGAATCAGGAAGTGCTTGAGATGATAAGCAAGAATGTCGATACAATTCTAGCTTTGTGCTCAGCTGATTCCGAATTGAGAAACTATGCACTGAAATTTCAACTTGAGCAGGCAGCAGACAAGGCTGTCTTTGACTCGGGTGGTGAGACTGTTAGCAAAATAGAACATATGAAAAAAGTGTTGCGGCGAATGGTCGACCTGGCATTGGCTGTCGCAATGCATATCTTGGAGCGTACAAAAAATGATAAAGGCAATATGAGCATAGAACTAGATACTGTTTCACAGCCTTCCACAGATTTGTTACAAAGTAGCAGTGTAGAGGATTTTACGGAAGGGTCGTGCGCTTGGCTGGAAATTGGAGCGCATTTATCCTATGTATCAACTGATCTCTTATCATTAGTGCTTGTAAGCCACAGCAATTTGCGGCATTCGTTACAAATGTATATGCTGGGAAAAGGTGTACTAAATTACATATCTGATGCCCTTAATATAACCCAAGAGCATGAAATTACTTACTTTCAGGAAGGGTACAAAACTGAGCATGTGCGACTCATGGCAAACTTATGCTTTGATAATGTAGATTGTAGTAAAGCAATAGTTGGTGATGATAATATTCTGATAAAAATTTTGTCGGCAACTCGCATTGATGAGGAAAATCCAGGAATGGTCGAATGGGCAGAATTTGCAATACGAAATCTTTGCGCTTCGACCTATGAGGCACAAGAAAAACTTAAACAATTGAAACCGGTGCGCCTCACAGATGATAGTAAACAGCTTCTTAATGGAAGGGCTACTCATAGCTTCAATAACGCAGGTAAGCTGCATATTGAGCTAACAAAAAATTAATATATATATATTGTTTTGATCACAGAAAACAATTAAAAAAATAATGCATGTTGTGCATACTTTGTCCTAATTGCTATATTTAAGATGTGTTCTCTTAATAAAAGAAGTCTTAATAGAAAAGATTAGAAGGAAACGGAAGCTGGAAATGCAATTTTAATATGAAAACTATTCTATCTGCATCATTCATTTCTTCTTAACTCCGCTATTAGTAGCTATTCAAAGGAATATACAATGCCATGAACACTCGTTTAGAAATTTCGGCGTTTTCGAGCGCTCAAGAAAGTATGCAAGCCCTAGAAGAATGGCGTAGAAAAAATGAACAGCACACAAATAAAATCAAGGAGTTTTCTCAACGAAGAAAAATGCTTAAGAAAAGAGCTAAAGATCATAGTAATGAACAGCTATGGATTAACGATCGCGATGCGCTTGCTAAAGAACAAGAAGTTTATGAGGCAGAGCTTAGAGAATCGATTAAGAGTATCGGTGTTTTGGATGATGATGATTCTAATGTGCGTGCAAAATGGTCCCTTCAAAATCAAATTATGCAGCAACTCCAGGTACTGAAGAGTGAGCTCCAGATGTTGAAGAAGGCTAATCCGTCTGGAAATTATGTAGAGTCTTTTAAGTCTAAGGTTTTAGACTTAAAAAAATTCATAGAAGAAGAACAAAAGAAATGTGAAGCCAATATCATAGCACAAGAGGAAGAGCCTCCGTCTAAGATTGATGTGAACGATGTTCTCATGCATACCAGATTGCGTATGGAGCAGCTTCGGGACAACTTCCTGGAATCTAAAAAGATACATGAGGCCTTCTATGAAGCAATAAACCATGAGCAAGAGCGGCTACTTAGTCATCTTGCAGAAGTTGGAAACGCTTCAGAACCCGTTTCATCGGATAAAGTTCTAAAATCAATTAGTTTACTTTTAAAACTCGCGGAAAGGGGACGTCAGGCTGACTCAGCTTCATCCTTGCAAAAGCAGTTACGGGACCGCGTATCGATCACATTCCCAGAACTATCTAAAGCTCAAATACAAGTTGCTATAGAAGAGACATTGCAGCAGAGGAAAAAACATCAGCTAGTGAGGGCCTTCATTGCAGATTACAGAAGAGCGATGGAAAAATTGTTCAACACTTATGAAACGGCCCTTGATGTTGATAAAGAGCGGCGAGAGTTCGAGGCTTGCATCAAGACTGAAAATGATATCCGCTTAAAGCGCCTCGAAGAGAAACACCTGCATCTTGCACAACAACGAGAAGAATATGAAGAAAGATGCAGGGAGACAGAATTGAGAGAGAAGGAACTGCACGCTGTAAAAGAGAAGCAATACTATGCCCTGAAGATAAAACGTATGGAAGAGTTTCAGAAGCGTCTTCATCAGCTTGTTGAATATGAGAAAATAAAGAGTGAAATGATGGAGAGGGAAAGTCAATTGCAGATGCTGCGCCTGCAAGAAGAAGAAGCAGAAAAGGCTGAGCGAATGGAGCAAAATAGCAAGCGCGTAGCGTATCGGCAGCATAAATACGCTGAGAAGGTTGAACACAGACAGGCTCTTGAAAAAGAGCTCCTTGATTTGAAACAAAAGAAGGAAAAAGCAATGCAAAGATTTTTGGCTTCTATAGAGCGTCAGATTGGTGTCCAATCCGATCCTAAGCGGCTTATAAAGGCTACTGAGTCCAGTGCTCAGGCGCATACATACGTAACATTTGCAGCGGCTGCACAAAACAAGATCCCTGGTTACACTGATGATGAAATCATGCACGACCCACGTATGAAGTTATACCATGCCTTACTGGAGGCTGGATTACATAAAACTGAATACGGCAGGGAAGTGGCTAGTCGTGGTTTTCGAATACCGCCGGCACAGCAAGCCAATGAGGCAAATCCACTCTATAAAAGCATTCCCTGAACTCAACTCAAATAAACTCTGTCCATGAGAGAATATATATATATATTATCAGGATGTATTATTAATTATTTTCTCATTTTATGCTGCTAGAAAATTTGTCTGGGATATTTGTATACAAGGTAAAAGCAGATTAAAGTGATTTGTCATGAATGATTGACATGGCGTCACGATCAAAGTATGAAACTGCTTTCATTTCGTTATTATTTCGTAGAAAAAGGTTCAATGATTTTGCATTGAAACGAAGAAATGTGTGGTATTTATTCAAAAATGGACTAATAACATTCGTTTGTGGAGTTATCATGCTTCTCTGAGAATGGTCGCTACCATCTGGGGCTGGATGTGATGCCACACCTCCCTCACAGACGTATAAATTTTAAGACACTAATCTTTGCAGATGTGTGAACTTGCTGAATATCTCAGTGCTCTACAACTATCATGGGATTCGTGGACTCGAGTCCTCACAACTGGCGACTTTCCCGGTGTACAGTTCTGTGCCGAACGTGCTGAGATCTGCATTAGGAAATAAATCGTTGACTGCTTTTGAGCTCTGTTATCATTCTTGTTTGAATTCAAGCAGGATGAATAAAGAGTTCATCGGTTTGCTGCTCAGATTATTAGGAAATGAATAGGTGTGAAGACGGTTCGACGTCAATGTTGAATATTCCAGCAACGAGTAACCCGACTGCTGAAGCAACCTGGTCCCGTACTTGTGCATGGCTTGAAAAACATTATCCCTAAGGGTTGAAGTGAGTAAAAGTATAGGTAAAAAAAAAGAACATGAACAACAATCTCATAAGTACTATATTTACATTTACAAATGTACAAAATTAAATCTATTTGGGGCAACCTGCACCTGCTTATTTTCACTGCAATCTTCAGGTTTACTAAAGGGCTGAACTCGGCTGACGTAAATAGAATGCGACGCGCATTCCCCTCCATTGTGCACGGGGCGCCATTCTCCTTGATTGCCTATAGTGCCAATAGTAGCACCTATTTTGGCCGCAAGATTTTGCCTTCCCAAACGATGCTCTCCGTCGCCTCGTTGCGCATGTCGTGTAGGGGGATGCACCTGTCAGGGGTGTGTCGGGCTCGCCGCATGCGTTCAGGGCGCCGTCCACGGCACCGTGAACCGGCCGAGGGGGACTGGGTATGCCAGTGCGGGGAAGTGAATTATAAATCGAAGCGGGAGTGCTTCAAGTGTGGCGCGCCCGCACCGCCGCTGCCACCTGGGGTGCGACCCCCCACGCTGCCAGGGGAGGACCCACACGACTGGGCGTGCCCCTGTGGGCAGATGAACTTCAGGGGGAATGTCATCTGTCACAAGTGCAACCAGCCCAAGCCGGTGCCCCCCCCTCTCCCGGGACAAGAGGTGACGTTGTGGACCTGCCCGGGCTGCAAGTCGGTGAATCGAAGCACGCGGAAGTACTGCTTCAAGTGCTCCGCACCGTCCCCGCTGTCACAGATGAGCCCAGTTAGGCCGTGAGACCAGAAGGGAATGAGGGAGAAAGGGGGCTGTGTGAGGTGAGACCGTGTCTGCACGGGTTTGGTTTTGCTTGACATTTTAGCCGACCTATGGTTGGTTGATGCACTTTCTGATGAAACTAAAATCATTATGGAAGGGGTGAGGAGGAAACAAAAAAACGATGAACATTGTATTGGAAAGTAGTTTGTGTTTGTTTCCTCGATTAATTAGGTTGACCTTTCTTGCTGTCTATACTAATAAATTTTAACAATCCATTATGAAGGGAAAGCCTCTTCTACAGTCTCCCTATTTAACACATTAGTCGTCCTCCGACTCGAGGGGACTAAATAGTAGATCCCACAAGCCTACATACAAAACTCGAGTTCAAATGGAAACCGCAGTCGATGGAACGCTGTCGGCAACGCAGGGCAGCCTAGCTAACCACTCCGGCATGTCTCAGTTATCTACAAAGACGAAAAAACAGCTTTTCCTGCACCAACGCGCGGAGCGCTTGCGAGATCCAAAGGTTCGCCATATGGGAATCGATCGGCAGGCTTTAGATGAACAAGTACGCGAGAAAGAGGCTCTCAAGCTCCTAGAGAAGGAGCGGGATAGCTACTTCGACCGCCAGGCCCTGCTCATGGACCGACATGCCGTTGCCCTGCAGCAGGAAGTAAATAGAATCCGAACAGAGCGCGAAAGGGATTTGTGTGATTACCGTCAGACTTTTCAGAAAAATGAACTGCGACGAGAGTGGGATTTGAACGATCCTCAGGCCAAGGCAAAGGAGCTGCCCGCACGGGTGGGCGACGACGACCCTCGTAACGGCCCATCCTCTCTTCAAAAGTTTGAAGGTGAGGATCTCGACTTCCGCGAGCGACGTGCCGCGCAGCAACGGCAGCAACGCGATTGGGCTCAGCAGCAGACCGACGAGAAGCTGGTGAAGAAGTGGATGGAACAGGAGGCGAATCGTGCCTTTGATGATCGCAATGAGGAAACAAACTACCGAATCTACCAGATCGAGCGAAACATCGCGGAGCAGCGGCGGCTACGAGATGTGTGTACGGCAGAGTTCAACAAGAAATTAGCAGAGCAGCAGCGACAGGAGGCGATTAGTGCGAAGGAGGAGGATACTCGTCTTGGCCTTGAGGAAATTGCCTACCTCACCTCGTGTGATTTCTTGAATGAGCGACAGACTGTCGTGTCGAAAATTGGCGAAACAGTCAAAGGGGAAAATTACAAATGTATGTCCGAGTCTCAAAAAATGAAGCTACGTGCGGAGCAAGAAGAACAGCTGCAGCAGTTGCGGCGGCGGCGCTTGCTGGAGGTTGAAGAAGAAAAGCAATGGGCTCAGCAGGAGAACATGCAGCTCCGCATGGCTCAATCCCTAGACCGACAACGTGAACGGGAGCGAAAGGCAGAGCTCAAGGAGCTCGCGAATTTCCACAAAACTCAAGCAAATGCGGCTAAGGATCGTACAGAAATGCTAAATCAGTTGTATACTAATCAAGTAGATGAAGATTATTTCAAGTACTGGGATAGATGCATGTAGTATGTTTGAGTCTATTTTATGAGGTGCGTCCACCACGGTCGATTCACTAAACTTACGGGCTGTATTCCTACTAAAATGTTTTAGATAGATATATGAACCCGAAGGTGCAAAGAGGATATTCAAGTCTTCGTGTTTAGATGCGTTCGGCATCAAAAATGTACTAAACTGATGATGGTTGCATCACAGTAGGTAACGATAATATGTGCATATATATATATATACATATATATATATGTGTGTGTATGTGTGTATGTGTTGAGAGGGGAGGTGGGAATGTAAAAGAAGGTAACTCTCATAGCCCAAGGGGAAAAACCATGTAGATAGCATTGTGTGATTAAAAGCAACAGCATTATGTTTTACTTTCTGTTGCAGATATTTCATACATGCAAAAATATATATTACAATCTCACCTGAATAGAGCACTGCTCACAGTGTAACTACTAGACTGGCTGTAAGAAGAAACCAGTGAGTTCCTTTTATGGGGTGTTTATGGGAAAGGCATCTGACTCATCTGTTCTCATTCTTCTGCATTCTTAGGATGGAATACATACGTAGGAATCAATGCTATAGAAATGATTCTCGGTGTTGGTGAAGGAACTTTCGCGATTTTATTGGTTGCATTTGTGGCTGTGTTGGTGGCTGTTGTGGGTAGCTACGTTTTTCCAAATGCTATGCTTTTTATTATTCTTGGATGCCTTGCTCTCCCTTTTAGTGTGTATGGGATCCTAGTCACCGCACCCAGAGCCACAGCGAAGCAACCGTTGCCGCCCTCCCCGTATCGAGAATATCAGCTACCCACAAACAGTGATATTATTGATAGCTTTATGCCAGTGAGGATTGCAGGCCTTATTCTTTTTAGCCTTTCAATAATTGGTGGTATCATCTATCAGCTAATTCTGGTGATTCGATGTCCTCCTTATGTAGTCCCCCGTGTGCGCTGTATTCGAGAACAATTAGAAAAACTTCATCCGACCTGGTTTCGATAGATTCAACACCGGTTCTAAACATATATATATATATATATATATATATACAATATGGGATAGAATAGCAAGATTCAAAAATATAGACAAGAAAAACAATCCATAGTATCTTGATGTGATAATGCTTATTACGGCCCATTTGGCTCTATTTTGATTGCGATGTATTTTCCCTACCACTCCTTTTGCTGTTTGAAAGCAACAGTATTTTTTTTTGCATATTTCATAATAATAAGGTGGTGCTTCAACAACAAAAAGGCGACAAGTCCATTTTAGGGGTCAAAGTTATTTAAAATAACGATTTTTATTACATCCAATGGACGACGAATTAGCCTACAAGATTATTGTGCTTGGGAGTGTAAGTGTAGGCAAAAGCAACATCACATGTCGGTTCTGCGATAATAAGTTTTACTCTGACATAGTCCCCACTCTAGGCATGGACTTCAAATACACATCCTGCGAGACGTTAGAGACGAAACCACGCTCGGTAAGACTTCAAATATGGGATACCTCCGGACAAGATCAGTTTGTAACCCTCACAACGGCTTTCTATCGCAATTGCCAGGGCGCTATGATGTGTTTCGACCTCTCCAATCGCACCTCCTTCGACGACCTCGACACCTGGTATAATCTGCTCGAGCAAAACTGTGCCAAGCTACCGCTTTTGATTCTCGTAGGCTGCAAGCTGGACCTCGTGCAGAGCAAATTAGGCGACCAACAGCAGGGCCTTGTGCTAGGCAGCAATCGGCAGGTCAGCAAGAGCGAGGGCGATGCGTGGGCGCGGTCGCACAATTGTCTGTGCTACATCGAAACGAGCGCGAAGGAGAACACCAACGTGACACAGGCCTTTCAACAACTAGTCACCTTCATGGCGAAGGACAGCAAATTGTGCCAAAAGAACACATCCCGCAACCTGAGTGGCGGGGGAGGGATGTGTCTGAAGCAAGACAAAGGGTCCAAGGAAGGGCGTGGATCTGAAAAGAAAAGCTGTTGCAATTAAGAACGGGGACCTCTTCCATACAGTATTAGAGGAAAAGGTGGTGGGGAAAAGTGTGAAGGGTGTTTAGTGGAATCAATTGCTTCGATTGTTCTAATTTATAAGCGCGGACAATCAAGATAGGCTTTACAAAGTTCAAATGAAATGCAATATTTACGCATGTATAACTATTTTACTCCGTTGATAGTGCCATCTTTCATTCAAAAGAGGGTAAATATATTTTCCTTTACATTGTGTTGAATTGTTTGATATATGAGTGATATATGGGAAAAAAAGGTTTGCAGAAATAAGCATCAGATATTCATCCTTAGCGGCTTCCACTGCTTGTTCAGTTAACCCTTCCTTTGATGTAGAATGATCTAATTTTAAAAAGTAATTAGTAAAAAATAATAATTTTATTAGTGTTTATCTATTTGTGTTTATCTTCCTCGGATCAATACGGTTTTAGTTACTACTTGTCGTGAAGCTAATTCTATACAAAGGATTTCTTTCTCAGAAGTAATCAAGTCAACCGTTTCCTTAAAACAGGGCATTCAAATGGCTAAAGCAGGGTCAACAGTAGGTGGTGACTATGACTACATATTCAAAATCATTGTCATCGGTGATAGTGGCGTGGGAAAGTCATCCTTGACGGTGAGGCTTTCCGAAGACGTGTTTTACAAAGACTATGCTTCCACAATAGCCATTGATTTTCGCATGTACCAGATGAACTACATGGATAAACACGTACGCCTGCAGATATGGGATACAGCCGGGCAGGAGCGCTTTCAATCTGTTGCTACCGCCTTTTACCGTGGTGCGAACGGCGTTATGCTGTGCTTCGATCTAACCCACCGACCATCCTTCTTGCACATCGAGCAGTGGATGGAACGTGTGAAGCAGCAGGCACTTCCGGGTATCCCTTGCCTGCTCATTGGCTGCAAGAGCGACGGAGCTCGCACAAACCGACAGGTTACAAGGGAGGAAGCGATGGCCTGGGCGACACAGCACAAAATGTCATACATCGAAACCAGTGCGAAAGAAAAGGAGAACGTGCAGCAGGCTTTTCAGCAGATTACCAAGTGCATTTTCAATGATATGAAAGATCACGGCGGCGCCGCGCAACAGTCTTCACGAGATGGCGCGTCTGGTGAACGGAACGTCAAATTAGGTGCGTCTAAGAACAAAAAATCGAAGGAAAGTTCTTGTTGCTAGAGGGTGTGTAGTACGTAAAAGAAATTGCGGAGAAATTCCAAATAAGCTAGCGAATGATTTCAATTCGATATATTGCGTGTTTGGAGGACCAAATTAGTGTTTTATAATATCATTGTGGTTATATTGCACGAGGAGGTACATCATTTCCTCTTCGTAACTATTTCAACACTTTATGTTATCGCGGTAGGCTAAGTAATGAGAGGAAATTGCTCAAGGATGGGATTCTATTTGTCGCATAGAGAGTTTAACATTTTGCATATACGGCCAATTATGGATGTGCAGGAATGAAAAAAAAAAATGAGTATAAAATTTATGGAACTTTTACGCTATTAATGTACTTGTATACCCTCAGCGAAGAAAGCAGAAAACGTGGTTTGGCTACCTGTCCTTCTATTCTCGTTTATATTGTAGGGAAAAGGCAATATTTTTGAATTGCAATTGATACATACTTTCAAGTAGCTGATCGGGCGGTAGTTCAATGAATTTCTGTGTGTATTGAGCTTGATTTGTTGCTTGTTCTGTGTACGTTCTGAGCCCACACGTTGTAAGGCATAGTATAAAATATTTCAATCGTCATCATTATTATTATTTATATATATACGTGTGCGCGTTGTTGTACTTTGTTTTACGATTACTTTCCTTTGTTTGCTTATGCTGGGGATATATTTCTGTATGCATGCATGCCTCCAGTGTGATAAAAAGAGTCAAAAAAATGAACATTTATGCGTAAATGTATATCCGTGTGTGATGTTTTTTTTTCAAACAACTTGTTTCTCGTTTCTTGATATTTTTAAGTGTGTGCATGCTTCCACTCTATTAGTACTCAGAGCTAGAATTTTTAAAGCACTAGTTTTTTCCTACTTCATAACCGCAAGACGATGAGCATACAATTTACTGCAGAGTTCTGTTTCCTTTTTGCTCTTTATTTCGTGACCTTTTCATCTGGGCAAGTAGTAAACCCCACCTTAGAGCCCTTGCGTGACGCCAACGTTACCTCTTTCATCAAATCATCCTGTGGCAAACATTTGTATTCGTTCGATTGTCTTGAGGCGCCGGAATGTATGTGGTGTTGCGATGCACCCTTTGGTTCACGGTGCATCGCGAAGGATGCCAATTCTAGATCTTCCTCGGTCTGCTCTCCAGATGCGCTGCTGTCGTCGCCAGGGATGACGTGTAGTAGCCTCTGTTACGCCAGTAACTCCGATTGCGAGTCGTGCGTGAAGAAGAAGTGGTGTTATTTTTGCCTTTCTAGTCGAACCTGCCAACCTCCAGAGGACTCTTGCACCGACAATGCCGTCGTCCAAACATGCGGCCCTGACGATTACGATTCCAAACGAATAGCGGAGGATCGATTCTACGCGATAGTGGTTATTTTCACAGCAGGGGGAATCATTGTGGTTTCCATCTTGGGTATCGCCGCGGCCCTTATTTACCGCGGGCTCATGGAAAGACGCCGGGCAAGGGAAATCGCAGAGCAACAGCAGCGCCGCCGTATGCAGCGAGATAATACTACTATGCTGATGCACGAAGTGTGGGATCGGAGCGCTCCTTCACAGGTAGAGGAACGGGAGCGTCTTCTGCCCGAGGGTGCAGAGCTTCGTCAGGACCGCGCGTTGGAGGTTGAGGACGGGGATTTGAGCAACAATGCGGTATCGCGCACTTCGAGCCTGTTAGCTGACGAGCCAATGTGTTATCTTTGCCTCAGCGCGCGACCTTCCGTGACTTTCCTTCCTTGCTATCACACCTGTTGTTGTGAGCTATGCAGCAACCGTCTGAGGCCTGTTTCTAATACAATTGTATGCCCATTTTGTCGGGAGGAGATCAAGAGCATGGTGAGCTTGACGAACGTGCTAAAATGGAGCCCTGAAGAGAAATTAGCTTAGGTGATAGAGATGTCTTCTCTCTGCTTTTTTTTTTTGAATCAGCAGCGAATGTAGACGAAATGTATTTCTCGGGAACCTATTTATGCTTTTGATTTTCTTACAAAATGATCAGAACTTTGGGGTGTGTCGGTGGTAAAGTCTGTGCTTCCGATGATTTATATTTGTCTCGGATTTCTATATAGTTGTGTTAGTTTTCCAGCTGACAGTGCTTTTTTTGTTGCGATGCTTCTCTTTTATTATCAACCCTCCCATAGTATACGTGTAGTCATTACTCATGTTAAACTATATGTAATTGGTCTTATTTTGGTATGCATTTCAAGTATCATACAGTATGCGAACTCAGCAAAATGCGCTATTTGCTCTAAAAACACTTACTCTTTTCTTATGTCTAGGTGACTAGTAAAATAAATAAGCATTGTCACACACTCACTTAACTCTTACATTCGGAGCCCTCACAGCTCTTTAACAGGCAGATTTTAAGGTATAATATCAAATTATTTATCTGTAGTCTATCCTTTCGCCTAATTATATATTTATTGCGCGGTCTCTTCAGATTTTTTTCCCCCTCAACGAAAGACATCCATTGATGAGTGCAAACGCGGAGGAAAGGGAAGTGGCAAATGACGTGCTAACCCGTCGGGCTAGACGTCGTAAAGAAATTGTACGGTACCACCAACGTCAACACAATAAGGTACTGAAGTCAGACGCTAATCTTCGCGATAATCGCTTGTTCCTGTTTTCTGAGGGAACGAAAGTTTCGTGGGAAACGACAACGGTGCCACCTCGCGATTTGAACCCCGTGTCGTTGTTAGCGCCGTCTTCTCAAGGCAACCCTGCCGTGAAGGACGAAGCACTGGAGGACTGGAATTTCGAATTCGTATTCCACAGTGAAAACGCGTCTAGAAAACCCTCGAACCGCCTTGACGGGGATGAGGACGATGGGCTTGAAGGGGGAGTGTGCACACACGAAAAGGCCATTATATCGCCCACGTTCTTCTCCGAAGTCGCAGACAGCGAGGTGACATCCCGTTCTGAATCGCTCATGCTGGCAAACACGCAGGGTGTGAAGCGGCAGGCAAAGCCTCTGTCTATGCTATTGGTACCCGAAAACACAATGGCAGGCCCCACAGGGGGAAGGCCGCCGAACTTTATCTACGTCAGCCGAGCTGAGGGCGTGCCGCCGATCCCAGTGAGGACGCCCATGGCGTCAGGAACCGATCTCAACGTCCCCACCAGCAACTATCTAACACTGGATAGCGTCTACAACATCCACCAACACGCACCAGGATTCGTGAAGAATGAACGGGCCGCGCTCGGTTCCATGTTCTCGAGGAGTATGCTAGGATGGGAGGATCTACAGGAGGACGTCTTGATACTCTCCACCGGGAATGCCATGCGGTTGGTCTTCGAACAGGCCTTTACGGACGATAAACCGATCGCGCTTCAGGTGCAACGGCTAGGGCCGACGCTAACAGTTGGCATCCACACCGACGCCCCAAGCAGCGTGCGCGAGATGCGCAAGCGGGCTCTCCTGAGCAAGGCCCTATATCGATTGAGCGAGGCTGCACCGCCGCCGGACTCCCGTGATGCGAAGGTGACTGAGGAGGTGGTCAAGACCTCAGAGCCGCCCGCGGCGCCGACGAACGCCGTCGCGCTCCCCCCTCAACGGATAGGGTTAAGCGTGGCTGAGCACGCGCAGGTTCACAACCGCTACTCCCACACCCTGCGCTGGGGGATCGATAAGATGGAGGTGTTGGTCGGGGTGGATACGCCCATCGTACTTGATCGACGCAGCAACACCGAGCAGATGTTGAAGCTTGAGGATACATCGGACGTTATGACGCCGCAGGAAATGCAGCGGGATTTGTTGAATTGCTGGTTTGATGCCACGCTCGCGAACGTACCTCAGGTAGGCATTTATATCCACAACGCCGGTGTGGTGCAATGCTTTGAAGTGAAGAAGGTGCAAGAGCTTTTAGGGCTGGTCGAAGGACGCGTCGCGACCGCGGCGATGAACTTTACCAGCAACGTCCTGCGTTGGTTGGTGCAGCAGTGTGTGAAGGATGGGGCGACTTACGCCGTTCTTCGAGGATACCGATCGAGCTATTTGGAGCTGTACGAACTTCCACGCGAGCACACGCTGTTTACGGATCCGACTTATAACGATACGCACGTCTCCCCCGAAGCCATGGATGCTGCGGCGAGGCAGTGCCGAGAAGACCACGACCGCCTCAATCTCAACTTGGCGAGAATGTGCCTGGGGATGGCACAACACCTCTTCCACCACGAAAACATCGCCAAAACCTTTGATACATTGTCGCTTCTGTTGCGCAGTTTCGTTATATTTCTTCAGCAAGGCGACCCCGCGTACGCTGTGGAGCATGTCTCTGAAATAGCCCAAATGCTTCCAAAACTGATTGACCGACTCATCCTCCAGCGTCACGCTGCTTCACTGCCATCGATGGATTCAAAACCCGCTAAGAATCATGATGTGAAGCATACTAAAGAGGATGCTGTGGGGAACGAGAAGCAGTCGATACAAGAAGTGCCGTCAGGCGGCGTTGTCAGTGAAACCAAACCGCGGCTTTTCACAGAGGGGGGTAACAACGCCTGCCGCGCCCTCCCAGAAGCCTATCGGGAGGCGCTCGTTACGGGCGCTCGCTTCGAAATGCGGCTACGTCAGACGCTGGAGGATAGCACCCTCAAACCCATCCTGCGGCGCGGTTACACACGTTCACTCGTGCTATGCTCCGTCGCCATAGGTGTGGCAGTTGCTCGGACGCTTGATGCCTTCAGCGCCGAGCGTTCGGCCCATTTCCGCGGTAACCATTCATCTCACAAACACGGGAGCAACGAGAATGCGAAGCAGTGGAGCACCAAGAAACCCACAGTACCGGCTGATGCGGAAAAGAAGAAGAACATGACATTAGAAAAGGATGAAAAGGACTTTACGGTCCTCAAGAATCTGCTACAGGTCATCGTGGAAGGCCTGATGCGGCTAGAGCATCTCAGCAACACAATCGGGGCCTTTGCTACCTCGATTAAGCAATCAGAAACGTCCGATCACGGCAGCCCCAACGTCACACCCGAGGTCTCCACAGACGTACAAAATGCTAACCAGGAAGCAGGAAAGGAGACGCACAAAAAGAGATCCCCACCATCGCAACGGGAATGTGGTCTACTGATAGATCCAAGGGCGGATGTGGATGTTGAACCCCTCAATCGCTTTCTTTGTGAAATATATGGCGACGTCATATTAATTATCATGGCAGACTCAGCCAATGCGTTTACGGTGGACGTGCTAACCGAGGTGGCTCGCCGTATCAGCTCCAGAGAGGAAGAAAAGGCGCAGCAGCAACAGCCATCTCAGCAAAGCAGCCCCGGATCAAAGGGTAGCCTCCCTTCCTCCTCCTGCTCAACTCTGCAATGGATCTCTGCTCTAACAACGGACCCGGTCAGTCTTTCATTCACGGCGATGCGCTTCTATGCGAAGGCCGGAAATGAGACCAGATCGCTTCTTATCAAGATGGCGAAAGTATACTACTACGTCGGGGTGCATTACCTGAACACGGACCGTTACACGAAAGCCCTTGAGGCACTCTACCGCGCGAAATCCCTTTTCAAAGCTTCGGAGAAGGCGAGTGAGGATTCCCCCCTTGCCGAATACTTCACCCTCGCCCCGATGGTGTTCCTGGAAGACGTCCTCAAGGCGCTTGGGGATGTGTACACCAATATGGCGCTCCTCAAGATGCGTGCGGCGCTGCCCATCACCAGCGTCGAGATCACTCCCACTCAGCCGCTCAGCATCGGCCTGTTGCACCATGGCAACGAGGAGGAAACGCGGTTCTTCCAGAAGGCAATCGACACCTACACCGAAGGGGCCTGCTGGGTCGAGAAGGCCCAGGTGCTGCTGCGCTACGCCGCGACCTTTATCGACAACGCGACGTTGTCGGGACGTCCGATGGACCGGGCGGCCTCCGCGCGGACCTTCGAGCTCCTTGTGGAGGCCCGAAAGGCGGCGGAGAAGAGTCGCGCGGAGGGGACGGACTGGCGGCGTCGGCTCGAATGGGAGACGCTTCGGCTCGTGACGACCACCGCCGTCGGACAGTGTGGCAGCCCTCTCCTGCGGAGTGCGCGGACGATCGCACAGCACTGGGCCGAACGACTCTGCCGTGAGGCCGTCTTGGAAGAAGACGAAAAGGAGGAGGACAAAAGCGACGCTGTGACAGACTTAAGGGTCACCGTGAAACCCCCTTTGGAGGCCGCCACGGCGGGGGAGCAGAACCTGCAGCTGGGGCTGGTGTACGTCGTGGATGTGGAAGGGCGGTGTGCCGCGCCAGGGGTTGCGGCGAGCACGCGGAAGGCCGGTCTCAGCGCGCTCGGGCTTCGGGAGACGACCCGACAGTGCGTCGCGTTCGGCGTCGCGGCGATGCGGGAGGTGCAGGCGCGGTGGCAAGCGCATGCGGCGGCCGCCAAGTCAACCCCTTCCACCAGCCCAACCCCCATGGCATCCTCACGGAGGATGTCCTTTATTGCTCATTCATGGAAAGTCGAAAATGAGGTGGAGTGGGTCTATCGCATGACCTCGATGATGGTGCTCCGCGCTTTGAAGGCACTCATGGGCTGCTCTGAAAAGAAACTGAAGTCAGAGGCTGCGACGTTCTTCTCTCGGGTACTTGCGCTGGTGAATTCTGTCACCAAGGTGGAAGACAATAAGGCGAGTGACAGCAAACACAAACGTTGGATGGATGCTATAAAGTCGCTTCTTTTTGCGTTAGAACCCATACTTGTATGGTAAAATCCTTATTATATTAACTATATACAACTATGAAAACGATGCATCGCTAAAAAATTGGGAAGTAGGTGTCGCGCGTATCTATAGTTCTTATCATTCAACTTATTTCGTGGAGCGAAAATATTACTTTTTTTTTTTTGTTTGTTTGTTTTAGATCCCCTGAGACCTTTTTGAAGAGTAGTTGCCATGGTCACTTTTCTCCTTCACGGATTGCTTTGTTGTTAAGGTTATCATAGTGGAAGGAATATTGAACTCAAAGGGGAATTCAGGGTCTAACGCCACGTGAGGTGCGCGGGAGTCGTGTAAAAAGTTGAGATACCGGATGGCTGCGCGCTACCGCATCTCTTTATTCAGCTGCGCTGCTGTGAACCGCGAGAGCGGGATGTGGTATTCATCCCTTACTTCGCCCCAACGTCGAATATCCACCGGTGTCTTTGATCACCCACCATTCTCACACCGACAACAACACACCTATAATACGCTTCCTTTGCATGATGCAAACCGCTTTGGGGGACGAACGGCGTACTTTAGAGAAATCGGTCCATTTGATCATAAGAGAAAGGGTCGACTCTTCAAGCGGGACCTGCGAACACTCCAATACAATGTCGATACCTGGTGTGCTCAAAGTACCTTACGGAAGAAATGGAAAGGCAGGGATTGGGAAGTAGTCGAGTTACCTTTCAACTTAGCGCCAACTGAACTTCAGCGTGTCATTCCTGAACAGTACACCGATGTTCCGCAAATGACGCAGCCCGCTGTGGGTGATTACAGCAACATTCGCAGTAAGGTTTATGATCGTGAGGAACTGCAAGATGTTTTATTTGGAGGAAAAGCCCACCCATATCCTAGAATTGTCCGAGTGAAGGATGACAATGATAAAGCGAGTTTAGCACTAAATAAGTTTCTCTAAACTGTGAATTTGAATCTATCTTTATCTATTGCATATCTATGTGGCGATACTGTTTCTGTGTGCTTTGTTTATGGTAATGCAGTCCAAGTGTTGACACCTTTCAGGCCAGCAATATCATGAGGTATGTAATATCATATATACATTATTATCTGTCGATATTCAGATGGGTCCGGGCAGACTGGGGGCAGGACAAAAAGCAAGTCGATCAACGGAAGAAGAATAGTTGTCTATTCCTTTGTCACTAGACTACACTACGCATTTCTGGTGAACTTAAAATGTGTAAACACTAATTTCACTCTACATTACTTTTCTACTACCACAACCTGCAGCATTTGTAGTGATTCTTTTTTTATTTTATTATATCATAAGGTAATTCCCATAAGCTAAGCACCCTTCGCGGTAGTTCTAATATCCGCAAAAGCAACGAAAATGGAAGTTGATCACAGCTCAAATTCTGAACGGCTAGAGTTTCTCTACCTTAATATGGTAGGGCAAGTCGTTCAGGTGCATACGATCGATGGGTGCATTTCGGAAGGGATATTTGTCTCGCGCACGGACCCCGAAACGTCCGAGAATGAAGCTGGCATCTTTGTCTCCTTTCCCCGTTTTCTTCAATCGCCCCACCACGATCCGCTGGACCCAGCGGAGCTCTCCACCGATGCCCGCCTCTTCTGCTACAAGGACATTGTCATGGTGGATGTTGTGCACCTAAAGCTGCGCACGGAAACGCCTGGCATGGGTAACGTTCACTGTTACCGTGGCGAGCATGACCTGAAGACGCTGGACTGGGCGGAGGAGTGCACGGCGGAGTTGCTGGAGTCTGAGAAAATGTCTCCCGGTGAATGGGATCAGTTTAAGGCAAACGAGCGTTTTGGTGTCACATCCACCTACAAGGAGGACTTCTACACAACCAAACTTGACCGCTCCAAGCTTACAAAAGAGCAGCTGGAGTACGCAGATCGCGTCGCAAAGGCGATTGAAAACTCGGCGACTCGTGGTATCCAGCACCAGGTGGAGCGTGAAGAAATCGCCGCGATCGACTTAGACGAGGGCCTCCTGTACTCGGACGTCATTCGTGAAAACGGAGGTAGAGCGGGGAAGAAGGCCCCTGGTACGACAATGCCACCGCCACCACCGCAGCAGCAGCAGCAAACCCAACAGCCAGTTCGCAAGGCAACCCCCGAGCCACCCGTGGGCGGGAAGGTCATACCGACCAAGCGAGGGACGGTCGACGAGGGCGCGCCAGTTCCTATCGAAGGAGGTCAGATCAAGGATTTCAACCCCAACCCGGCGGCGGCGCCTTTTGTGCCCACTCGCCCCATCATCCGCGACTACCTGTCCTGCATCGCAGACGCCATTAACAACAACGATGAATGCTACGCGAGCAACCCCGACTGGCCTGGTGAAGAGGACCACTACGACAGGGACGACTCGAGCTACTCCCATCAGCATCAGCATCAACATCAGAACCAAGGCCAAGGTCACCACCACCACCACCATCATCATCATCACCATCACTACCAACAACAGCCGCAACCCCAACAGATGCCGCATCAACAGCAGCAGCAACCACAACAGCAACCACAGCAGCAACAGCCACCTCATCAGCAACAACAGCAACAGCAGTCATTGGCGCAGGGCCCAGGCCGCGGGATGCCCCCTCAGGGTCAGTTCATGGGCATGTCAGGGAAGAACTACGGCGCCGGTGGTAACATGGCCCACGGCTTCAACCGCTCCAGCGGACACCTGTCCATGCATCACCAGCACCACATGCCGCACCATCAGTATGACATGGGCAACGCCAACAACGCGGCGTATATGCCGGGTAACAACGCGCAAAACCAAGGACAACAGCCGCAGCAGCAGCCTTATGTCGATCAAAACATGATGGGTCCCTCCTCGTCAAGGATGGGAGCGAATATGCAACAGCAGCGTGCGTCGAATAAAACGACGCAGCCACAGCAACCGGTGGTGACCGCCTTACCCATGCAGAATGTGAACAACACAGGTGGCGGCAGGGGGGTACAGGGTATGTCTCTTGGGCAGCCTCCCCCGGGCGCCATTCCAGAAATTGATAGCAGTGCGGGCGGGACCACGGTTACCGAGAAGCAGCCCCCTAAGAAATTAAAACGGGGGGGTGCCTCGAGTGGGATGGCACAGCGCAGTGATGCCCCAGACGGTGGTCAAGGAGTTAAGAAGAAGTGAGGAAGGAACTGAGGAAGTAGATGAAAACGATGTGGTTCAACTTTTTTACATTTGCATGGTTGTGAATATGGAGTTGGCGGGCCCAATCCCTAATGGTGCCTGTGTATAGATGCTTAGCGTATCAGATTGTTTGCTCCGACTGTTTTTTCTCCTTCAACACGGTTAATAGTGTAGCATTCTGTTAAAAAAGTGGCGTATGGAGGAAGGAAGCAAAAGCGAAATATACGTACCATGGCTGGGTGATAGCTAAAACTATAAATTAATTTCATAATTTATGCTTTACGAGTCTATTCTTTTGTAGTTGTTTTTTGAGTCGCCCACATTGCTGAGGGATTCCTAGATTGTGGAGCATCCTAAAGTATAAAGAGCGAGCTGTATGTCGATGAGCGAGGCGATTGTGTAGTAAAGAGTATTGTTTATCTTTTTCTCTTCATTCCCTTGACACTATTCAGCATTGAGACAGTTGTTGGGCTTATCAGGGGAAGCGCTATGCTGACCCAAAGGGAAGAGATAAAAGTGGCACCATTAAGTGTATTGCTCCAAATGATAACATAAACTGTAGGTAATTCTTTATTCCTAACACCAGTAATTAGAATATGGATGTCAATGGTACATAGACGGACATATGTTAGACTAGTGAAAGGTGTTTTGCTTAGTAAGCAGGCAACGCTACGGATGGACAATAAACAGTAGAAAAATAGCTTACCTTGTAGGTAATTTAGCGATTAAATGTAGAGACATATGCTGTTCATCCTAGCAAAAGATATGTGTCTGATTGTGGAAGTAAACAAGGTGCTGTATCAGAATTTGAAAATAATGGAAGATGAAGTAACACGCAAAGAGATCATGTAAATGTAGAGACGGATAATGAATCTTTTCATCAGATGTGAGGTACCCTTTCTGTGTGTGAATACCCACACATGCTTCTTCTTTTATACCTTTCATGGATCCTCAAGAGGAATATTTAAGGAAAAGAAAACAAAAGATTATGGAATCCGGCGCAAACCGTTCTAGGGCGACTTTATCCTGTAATACCTCATCGTTACCGCCTATTCTACCTTCCATCCAAGATTGTTCTGCTCGTGAGGTGCTCTTTATAAACGAACCCCATGCAACGGACGAAGAAGATGGGGATGATCAAAGTACTCCACGCTATATACCCTGTTCGGCGCAGTACGCCTTAGCTGCAAATGCCGTCTACGTGGACCTATGATGAGTTTTTGGTGTGGGTTTTAAGCATAGATTCTTTCATTCTCGTTATACTTGCGCAAAGGGCAATCTGTTTTTTTTGCCCCAACTCTATTTTGTATTACTTTGTTTGGACTTTTTTTCTCTTGCTCCTTCTTCTGTGTATCACGTTCGCATATCAACGAGAGGCCAGGTTGAATTTGCAAGAAAAAAGCAAACCCAAAAAAGGCATGCTACCTGGCGAAACTCAAGATGATAAATGGAATCCGAGAGACCGTGTCGAAACTCCAGACATGACGCCTGTGGAATCTCAGATACCCCATCGTTCGGTCAGGAACCCCCCCAGACGTTATTTTCCGCCAGCATTTCGGAACAAAATGCTTCTAAAAACGAAATCCGAGATTCTTGAATGTGCGGCGCGGTATCAAATGCATCCAGCGACACTATGGGATAGAGTCCGAAAATGGAAGTCCCGCTACCTGAAGCCTATTCATGGTAAGCGAGCCGGACGTGACGAGCCACCCGGCTTGGGGGAGGTGGACGGGAACCCGTGGTGTGTCGACCTGCTTCAAATGGTCAGCCCCACTTACGGACCCCCTTCCGCGCTCTCGATTGTGTTCGACGCGGGCCCTCCCGGTTGTCTCTCACTGGGCCTTCTGGTGGCCGTGCAAGACGCCCGTGTGGGACAGCAGGACGCCCTGGCAGATCGCTTGTCTGTCCTTCCCCTTCCGGCCCTGCAGGGGTGTCTCTCCGAGCTCATCAAAGGCCGGGAGTTTTGGGACAAGTGTGTGTTGCGCCCCGCCGCGGATGCCGTCACGCGGACGCAGGGACTGCTGTGGGCGCAGCAGCTCAACCTGCTGTGCTTCTACATCGCGCTTTGGCAGCGACGACACCCGTTAGGGGTGGTTGCGTTGGTGTTGGAGAAGTACCGAAGTGGGGAACTGGATGCGTACATCTCGGCCCCGGGTCGGTCGTCTGGGTCGCCCGTCGAACTGCTCGAGGGGGTGTTGGAGGCCCTCACGGATGCGCTCTACCCTTGGCTCGCGGCGATTCCTAACCTGATTCGCTGCGATGTGTTCATGACCTATCCACACATGCCCTTGAATGAACAGCAGGCTCTCATGCAAGAAGTAACCAGTCGCTGCTATGAAAAAGAGTGGAAAGCTCGAGGCTCATCGGAGCCGGCCGGATCTATGTCCAAGGGAGGTGATCCAAGTGGGGCAGATGGGATGCCATCCGACGTGTGGGGCAGCAAGGGCAGAATAAACGCAAAGGAACTTCTACACGACTACATCTCAGAAGAGAGCATCCCCGACCTGCACATCTCCACCGAACTGACCGACGCCGGTTACCGAGCACTCCGCCTAGCTTTAGAGAAACATAAAATAGATGGTGTTCGGAGGCTTACTACAGAGTCTTACGCTGTCTACAAGGGATAGCTAAATCAATGAGAGGAAAAGAACTCAAATAATAGATTCAACTGCTTATGAAGTATTTTTTATTTTTTCCTTTGTTTTATATGTTTCTTTATTTCTTTCCCTCGCCAAGCCACATCTATTTTCTTCAGAAATTTCTCGAGTATAGATCTCAGTCTGGACGTAGTGTGTACCAGGAAATATAAACAGAACAATTGACAGAATTCGAAGCTTCTTTCCTATTATGAGAAGCGAATTCTTCAATCTGAAAAAAGGCACCTCATAGAAATTTTTCCCTTCAAAATTAAGTCTTAGATTGGGGGTAATTAACTTCAGACTTTTAGTCTCCATCATGGATAGTTGCCCTGGTGTTTGATATACAAGGTTTATGTAAATATGCTTATAATGAGGATAATACTACAGAAACACTAACGCAACCTAACTCCATTTGGTGTAAAGAGGGGATTCACATTGCACTAGGTCAGAAATCACACATGGTTAAGTGACCATTGAGTTCACCCAGAAGCTCTCGTGAAGTGTTGCTATTGGTCTTCGCTTTCTTTTTATTCAGCATTATAGGATTTTTATTTTCCCTCGGTTATCTTAACATTCATGCATATATATATTTTATGCTATTTACCCAACAATTTTTTACTCAAGCTTGTTTGAGTATTTGAATTTCATAAACCAATATATTCACACCATTGAAATGGTTCTTAATCATGAATACATTTGAAGCTACACACACTATTCCAGTTCTGATAGGTTGGTATTCTGCTTTCCTTTTTTGTGCTTGTTTTTTTTAAGTTTTATTTTAACTGAATATTACTCCATAAAGCTAACTAGAAATAAATACACCGAAATATATCTAATTCGCTGATAGTTTTGCTTACAATAAATTTAAAAAAGATGCAGCAAGTCAGTGACCATCTTAACAAGGCCGCTGTAAAGAGCTTCCTTTTCAGTCATGTGAACATGATTCTCGCTATTGTTAACGGCGTGGCGGTACTACTGCTTATCGTGGCATGGGCCGTATCTTCGGCAAGGGAAGTAAATTTCCCAGCCCGCACCGCGATGTGGATTATTGGATTTATTCTACTATCCGTCACTGTTCTGCTCTCTATTGGGGTCCAAAAGATGGAGCCAAATCTTGTTCTTTACTACGCGCATCAGATTATCGCCGTCCTTACGCTTGCCATAATGGCAGTCGCAATGGGGATTAATAATGTTGTGGTTAATATGTGCACTAGAAACAAACAAAACGGCACTCGGAATAATTGTGGTGCGCACTATGTGGAACTTTTGGCAGAAATTGTTGTTTGCATTAGTTTGGGAATCTATTACATCGGAACCCAGCAGCGTATTGTGGTTTTCATCGACAAAGGGATTCTAGATGGTATTAGGGGACGGTCTCATAGCAGGATGGAGTATCTGATGTAAGCTGTGTTTGTGCACATCATATTCAACGAAAGGATAGCCAAAAAATATGAAAGAACCTCAGCGATCATACTTTTTTCCCATCATGCATTAGTAGAACTAACTTGTAAAGTAAAGATATCTTTGCAGTGAGGAGTAATGCATTTCATGATGTTGCATTAAAGCCTTTGCTTGCTTATTGACCCTATATGATAAAAGGAGAATCAAACTTCTATTCTGACTATGGTATTAATTTTAATGTTTGTAAAATATATTTTCATTCTAATTTGCTACTTTTGCAATAAGTATTTATCAAAGTATCATTGTTTCGTGTATTGAGTATAGTCAATCAAAGGATCGGTTTCATCATTTTTAGTGTGAAGGTGAGATTTGAGCTCTCATACGGCTAAAATGGGCATTCTAACTTTATAAATACATTATTAGCGTCATTTGAATCTTTGACGATAGTGATTCATATTGATCTGTATCGTCCATTATAACATTTTTGGTATATGCATGTCTTTTAGTACATAGGGTAGTATGCTCAATACAATTCTTTTTGCAGCGTATGCATTGTTTTACAATTTTCTTCTTTTGCTGTTATTGATGTATGTGTCTATCGTTTTTCGGGAAAAATAAGACACAATATGATAAATAAACCTACTCAGAAACTTCGAAAGGTGATGAAAAATATAGTCTAGAACATACATGCGCGTATACTTGCGTCGTTTTCGTATTTTCTACAATGATGAGAACGCACAACGCTTCCTAAACTTCTTTGCTTCGCGAGAGGCCTATTAAGTTTTTCTCTCTCTCCTTTTTACTTTCATCTACCACTTTGAGGTACACTGGATATAAAAAGAAAATTAGAAGGGTGTTTTTGATAAGAATCCCCCCTGCCACCACTACTGCATGTTCCCTTGCGTTTTTAACCTTACGCAGAGCGACACAGAATCTGCTGTTGGATTTATTGCGTAAATATTTGTATTCTGGTAAGGGCAGAACTATTCAACCTGGGTGAATGCTCAGCAACGTATCTGGTTTACTATTATTTTTACTCTATCAAAAACTGAAGAATCACACGATTTGAGTTGCTAAATGCGGTAGGTAGTGCTGTATCGATATGCGAGAAGTTTATAATGACCTGAAAAAAATGATCAATTATGGTGGTTAGGGCTGCGCTTAGCTTGTGGGTGAGAGAGTGTGTGCGCACTGCCCAAAGTCAAGCACAACGGGTGGGATGGCAAAGAGATTTGCATCAGCAAATGGTGCGCAGCGAAAAAAAATTGAAGAGATGGTGCGCCAACATTGATACTCAACAGAAAAGGCACAATAATGGATAACATACGCATGTGTATAAATATATATATATTTATATATACCCTTTTCCTAGTGCATGTTTTTGTGTTGATTTAGTCCACAGTACAGAGCTACAGATGGACACGGTTCCAACCCTAGTCTAGATCATTACTTCTTCGTGTTTATTAACATAAATTCAATACTTATGTATTGCTTCATCACAAAAAATCATATCAATGCCCTTCACTGAAGTGGTTGGTGGATGTTCGCATGCCTTCTAGATATATGTGTAGGGCATCGCTGTGGGAACATACACCAATTTCCTCCAGTTCACACCCTGTGCTGTCGGTGCAAGATGACCTTTGGAAATACTTTCCTCCTCTGGACTTCATCTCTTCCAGTAAGTTATACTAAGGTAGTTTTCATTATATCTTGTTTTTCTTTTGGGGACCTCGAATCGAAGCTTTTGCTTAATTCATATATTTTTAGCTTGACCGTTATTATTTTTTCCTCCACTTATTTCCGCTGCTTTGTTTGAAAGCATTCTGTTTAGAATTTGGTCTCGGGTGCATTTTTCGTCATACAAAAATCCTTTTGGTGGTAGTTTTGGGTTCATAATAAAAGAGTATTTAATCTTATTGCACATACGCTTTTTCTACAGACACGCCTTGTAGTGTCTTCAAGCTTCTCAATTGCCGGTTTAATCTAAATCCATAATAACCCAAGGAGGACCCCACATTTATCGAGAGCGTGGAGGGGGACTAGGTGTTTACCTTTATCCTTCGCACCTCGTATCTATCAGCATTTTCCTTTTCTTTCTTTCTTTCTTTTTGATTGTCTGCTTTTCCCCTTTTCCATTGGCCTCATGAGTGTGCCGCCTCGGGTGGGATCTGCGCCGCTGCAGAACAACCGCCACAACGCCGCCGTGATCCCGGTGAGAGGGCAGGCCTTTCAAAATTCCGACTCCCACGACTTGTGGGTAACAACGCGAGGAGGAGGAGGGGGGATCGCGTCGCGCGGCGGGCCGGGGGCTCGTCAGCCCACTCCCAGTGGCAGCCTCCCGTCGAGCCCGCCTCAAACCTATGCGCCTCCACCAAAGGCGGTTTCCCCCAGGCCCGAGGTCGACCCCAGAGCGCCCACCTCCACCTTTCATCCGAGCAGAGATGCGATGTTCGCCGGGCATGCCCACAAGGACGCTGCCGCGCAGGGTTCCCCAGAGGCCCCCGAAGCCGTAGGCCGATCTGAACCCCTCAAACGAGAGGAGTCGCCCGAGGTATCCTACCCGGCGGATCGCATCTACGACGTCAGCGAGTTTATGAAGTTCCGAAACTGTCAAAAACCGGTGCCGGAGAACATCCTTCGCCACGCGCGGGTGTTGTGGAAGCGGATGCCGGAGAATATCACCAGCCTCGCGGAGACGAACAGCCTACGGAGTAACCTCTTTAAGGATGACGTGACGGCCACCCATATGCGGGTGTTGCCTGATCGCAAGCTGCATAACGAGGTGCTTGGCATCCTCGGCAAGGTCACTGAGAAGAACATGGAGGTGATGCAGAAGGAGTTGACGGATTTGCCGATCCGCCAGTCCACCGAGGCGGAGATTCGCGACGTGATTAACGTCTTCTTTGGCAAGTGCACGCGCCCGGAGGATACGCGGTACACCCCGCTCTACGTGCAGCTCATCTCCCACCTGATTTCGACGATCGGCGACCAAGAAGCGGCAGGTCGGATGATTCGTAAGGAGGTGATGAATCAATGCCGAGATACCTTCATCAACGCGGCGAACAAGTCGAAACAGCTGGAGGAGCGCATCGCGAAGCTCTCCGAGGAGGAGGCCGACCTCGAACGCATGCAATTCGCCGCCAAACTCAAGGCCAACATCTACTTCCTAGGGCTTATGTTCCGAAGCCGCCTCACGAGCGAAACCGTCGTGCGCGCGGTCCTCGACAACCTCCTCTACGGCGACGGCCGCCGGCGTCGGATCGTGCCGGATTACTGCATCATCCTTTTCATGGAGCTCCTGCAAACCTGCGGTCCGCATATGGATCGCTCCTTCTACATCGACCCTTTACCCCGTTACGTCGCCGTTCTGGAGGACTTTAGCCGCACCTACCCGAAGAAACGCATCCAGTTCTTGCTTCTGAACTTTTTAGAGACCATTAACAACAACTGGGTCCCTCTGCATGGTCCGGACGCGCATCGGGATACCAGCAGTGTGGCGAGCCCTTCCTCGCCGATGAGCAACAACCTACCAAACGGATCGCCCACGGCGAACGCGATGGCGCCGTTGGCAAAGCCCGTCGCCCCCATTCCCCCCCCAAGCGTCCTTATAGAACAACAAAAGAACCGTATTCCAGATCGTGGAGAGTTCTGGCGGGTGATGGATGACTTCTTCTCCACGAGCGATGTGGAGGAGATCATCTCGGTGATCGGTCTTATCCCGCATGATGTGTTGGTGGTGTACTGCAGTAAGTGGCTCGGACGCTACATCACCACCTACCGCTACACGCAGGAGCGCAGTAGGCTTGGGGAGTTGTTTGAGCAGTTGGTGAACCGAAACGCGATTCCGCCCGGGTTACCCCGTGAGGCCCTCCTGGATCACGTAAAACAGGCGATTAATGAGGACCTTTTTATAGACCAACCAAAGTACTTCTTCCACTGGGCGGCGGTGATCAAGAATGGCAAGTCGGTTTTCCCCCTCTCACTGCACACAACCCTGCTAGATATGCTTGTAGATCACCATATGGGGAAGGAGGTTATTGTGAAAATGGTTCTCGACGTACAAAAGGCGATTGAGGAAAGCAGCGGCAAGCCAACAGAGCAGAAGGATTACCAGGCGCAGGACCGCTTTCGCGTTTTGCAGGCGCTGCTGCGCTACTCGCCCCCGTTGCTGTCGAGGGATGAGGCCTCAATGGACGATGAAGACATCCTCACTAGTGTTGCGGAAAAGGATACGGAGACGGCGTTCTTCCAGCTCCTTGGCGAGAGCTACGAGGAAAGCAAATCCTCAACCGCGCTTTTTGGTACCGCGGATATGTTAAGAACTTCGCTTCTTCCTGCCTACCCATTCATTTCGGCCCTTTTTACCTTTGTTCGCTTTGATATTGATCATCTCTGTACCTACTTCAAAGATGTGATCCGAAAGATTTTCGGAACACGGACTATAGTTAGCTTATTCGAGGAAGTGTACGTCCAGTGGGTGCATCTGGAATGCTCAGAGGTTTATTACTTTAGCTTTGTGAAAAAGGTTTACACGCTTCTTAACTGCAACAAGAGCGAGTTAGACAAGTTGCGTGATCGTCTTCGTAATGAGTATCACGCGGAAAAGTTTGTGGCTCAGATGGATAAGTATCTTAAGTAACCCTGTCGCCCACCAACCCATTCATCTCCTTATAGTGGGGATGGACTAATTATTTTGCTTTAAAAGAAGAAAAACTAATAGCGATTTAACTACATTTGGCTAAAGGGATAGAGGTCGCGATCTACAAGCTGTGCAGGATGTGGTGGTGTGTCACGTGGCTCGGGTTACAAAACTTCTCCCTTTTGAGTTAATGATCATCAGCGTGGAAAATCACAGTTGTTTGCTTGTCGGTATGTGTTTGAACGCATTATTTTACCCCTGTTTTTCGGGATCATTCAGAGGGGTGAAATGGTAACTGTAAGATTAATTCTTTTAAACCGTAACATAGAAGGAACGGATCCCGTTTGATAACCCTGGCGGAAAGAGGTAGTAAAAAACCTTGAGTGGTGATAGCAGCTTGATAATGTGTATATTTGCACATTGTCTATGCTTGTGTGTATGCCCCTAGGTGTTCATAAGATACATATTATTTAATACGGGAAATCACAAGTACGGTAATCCTAAGTGTATGTACACTAAAACCTTTTTAGTTACTCTTTATTATTATTATTTTTACTATTGTAAGTATATTTGACGCTAACTGGCTCTCGGGTACAATCAAGATGAACATTATGCTCTTTGCTTTTCTTGCTTTAATAGCGTATCCATTGTGAAGTATATGTCATACTAAACAACGCTTTTCTATCTGAGTGTATAACGCTTTAACAAGATATGCTTTAACTAGCACGAGTCAAACTCTAAAATGGAATAAAAGGATATAGGAAACATGACTAACGTCGGATTAGATAATTTGGATTGGCGTGCGACTCGTTCCAATCCTCAAAAGGAATGGTACTATAAGTGATGATGAATGAATTATGTGTTTGGGGTGGATGCTATACGTATACACTTGTATAATTATATATGTATAAAAGTGAAGAGTATGAAATTGGGGCGATAAGCGATGAGCTAAGACAAGTGATGGAAATAAGAGTCTGCAAATAAAAAAATGGTTTCTTTTTTTTTGGTATCGTTATTACGGAGCCAATGAACGCGTGTGTGCAGTGTTTATTCTGCAATTAAGTACGAGAATTCGCATACGGTCTCATAGAAATGGAGGAAAGTCAAATCCTCTTCAAATTCGCGTTCTTGTTGTTTCTTGAAATACCCTCAACCTACAGTAAGTTCACATTCTTAAAGAATGTGCATTAAAAACGTAATTTACTGCGATGAATGCCATGTTCATTTATGCACAGTAAATACATTACACTTCTTTAAAAATCAATCATTCAGACCTTTTCTTCCACATTTCTTTCCCCTCTTTTCAAGCACGTCTGTTATAGGCAAGTGGAAAAGTTGGATGAAGCCTTCACTATCCCTGAACATCATGGAATGGTAATATGCGACGTAATACCTCTTTGTGAAGGGCTTAAACTGACGTTTTTTTTCTTTGCAAGGTGAGGCCGGGAAAGGCAACGGCGGCGAAGACAATCCACGCTTCTAGGCTTTAGTACTCAGAAGATTTTTTGTACAGACAGCAAAGTGGTTGGATGAAAGTGCAAATGTTAAACTTTGAGGAAGTAGATGAATCAAAAAAAGTAGTGCCGTTGTAAAAGCGCTGAAGTGTGAATGTGGTTAACATGGTTCCATGGAATTATCCGAAACAGTGAGAGTGGCATCTAAGCGTGTAAGGAGCATATATATAGATATGTATATTTAAAAAACACCAATCTGGAAATCTGACAAGAATAATGATGGTAAGTATCTTTGATGAATGTTCTTCATTCACTACCCCTCTTCAACCCACCCACCTGTCGCCAGCATGTGAGAGGGGTATAACCTCGCATATGATAGTGCATTTCTTAAACGTCCAAATCCCGCAATGTTCTCAAAGAAGAGGAAAAACAAACAAGCGGTAACAACCCCCAACATATTACTTCCCTTCTTCCTTCCCTCTCTATCCACAAACCCACCTAAAAGAAGAAAGAAGGGCAATAACTAAATAGAGTGCTACTATCACTATTCCTTAGAACATGTTTCACTTGCATATCGTTGATAACGCAGATAGCGTTCTTAGCAGCCTGCTTTTTGCGCATTTCGCTCTGCGCTGCGGGCAGCTACGAGAGCAGCTGCTGCTCAGCGCGAGTGCGGCGCCCTCTAATCTCCTGTCATCCAACACAGACGGCAGCGGAAAACCAAACCTCCCCCTCCGCTACCCTACAGATGATAATGATGATAACAATGGCAACGGCGTTATGCGTGCAAACAACGATAATATCAACGAAAATGATGACGTGAGTGTGCTGCAAATCGCGGCGGCGATGCTTCGAGGAGATTTGACCAACCGCCGCCATAGCGAGGAAGAGGTTGGTGAAGATAGCACCGTGGAGTCGCTTCCATGGCTGTGCGAAATTGAGGAACGAAGAGAAGCGATTCGAAAGTATCCTTTCTTTCAAACGCCCTTTGAACGGGCGGAGCGTAGCTTATCTCGCCTGCATTCCTCCAACGCTAAGCAGGAATCGGGAGCTCGGAAGGATATTGCGCCCTATTTTCACTTTATTTTAGCCGCGCAACCCTCCACGTACGATTATTTGTGTGATTATTACAGCGGCCGCCGTTCTTCCGCCAGCCTTCATCTCACACGTTTGGTGATTTTCTGCGTTGGTGGCGGCGACGATATCAAGCGAACGGTATTTATCGCTCAGAGGTTTGTTGAAGGGCTTGTGGGGGTGGAAGAATCTATGAAGAACATCGACGGTGAAGATAAATTGGTAGAGGGCAACAAAGATGACGAGGAGTGGGTAGAGCGGGTTGATGGAACCCTAGAAACGCTATCCGCTCAGTACGGAGTAGACATTTTTGTCATGGTAACATAGAAAAAAAGGGTAATAGAGGCAAAGACGTGAATATGCTAAGGGAGCTTTATTTACTCCTGGTAAATGGGTTAAGGCCTCACGCTGCACTTAAGTAGGCCATATCAGCCTACTTCATAGCTATTTTTTCAGAAGCGATGTGTCCGTGCACTTATCGAAACTGCTAACCTCCCCCTTCTCCTCTCCCTCTGGTACTCAGAGGTTTGGAACGTTTTAAGGAATCGAGTGTTCTGTGTAAAAGTTAAAGAAGGTGGGAGGAGAAAGAATTACAAACAGACCAAAGGGAAAACCTACTCACTGACACACACACATATATATATATATATATATATATATATATATACAGTTAGTTAGTTAGTTGTCTATCTCTCTCTATATACCTAGCATATACCTAGCAGATCACTAGTTAAAAAAAAAAAATAATAAGGGCATACACATTCACACACTCAAAGCCATGGAGGACACCAACTTAAGCTTTAAGATCGTCATTATTGGGGATAGTGGGGTGGGCAAGTCCAACATGATGACGCGCTACACCACCAACGAGTTCAGCCAGGACACGCCCGCGACGATCGGGGTGGAGTTCATGACCAAAAGCATTAAGATGGAAGGCCGGGACGCGAAGGTGCAGATCTGGGATACGGCTGGCCAAGAACGGTTTCGGGCCATCTCGCGCTCCATCTACCACGGCGCGAAAGGCGCGATGCTGGTCTATGACATCACCAACCAGTCTTCCTTCGACTCCATCCCGACTTGGCTGCGGGAGCTCCGCGTGTTCGTCCCGACAACGTGCTGTATCTTTCTAATCGGGAACAAGTGCGATTTGGAACACCTGCGGGTGGTGAAGAAGGAGGTCGCGGATCGCTTCGCGCAGGAGAACGGGCTCAGCTTTCTCGAAACCTCCGCGTTGGAGAAGACGAACGTGGATAAGGCGTTTGAGTGGTTGGCGAAATCGGTGTATGATGTGGTGGTAGCGCCTGCCGCACAGGAACAACCGCCGCGGCCGAATATCAACCCCAGCTCGCGAACGATTAATTTGAATAAAAGCCAGCCTTCGGAAAAGCCTGGCAAAGGGTGCTGCTAAGAAATAAGAAAAAAAGGAGACGGGTCATGAAGTCAAAGGGTGGTGGGATAGGGGATTTGAAGAAATTTTTAAAAAACAAATAAGGAAACAAGGGTTGTGAATGATCACCTAAAAGAAATCAAAGTGGAAAGGTGTCCTATACCAATGATATCTTTCCACCTGTTCTTTCTCCTTGTTTTTGTATCTTTGTATTTTTTTGGCTTTCTTTCTTTTTTCTAGCTTTTTTGCTGGTGCTATGGCGTGTGCGTTTTTCGGTTGTTCTACCCCGCCTCTCGTCGACATCTTTTCGTGCTTGCCTTTTCGTTTTTTTCCTTTACAAAAGTGCACTGTTATATATGTGGCTTGAATATTGTTATTATATATATATATATATATATATATATATTTGCGTTAACCATGCGAAATAAGGAAAGAGGAAAACAGGAAGGAGTGCCACATCGCTTCTGAAGAGGCGCTTCCCCCGCGTGAGTAATGATGGGATAATAATACGCCCTGAATCTTCTATCTCAGTGTTCAGGAAGTGTAAGCAGTGGAAACCCCTCTATGAATAGAAATTAATGCGAGGATGATTTGGGAATCATCCAGAGGGGAAGGGAGGGGGGGGGGGGAGACGCTCCATGGAGCTAATAGAAAAGAAACTGCACCCTCTTTTCGTTCTTTTTTTCCTCACTTATTTTGATTTTGGAAAGCTATGGTGTAATAGCTTGGATGTCAGTGTTATCGTGTTTTACTGCGCATTTGTGTACTATCACAATCCAAGCAGTAAGAAGAAGGTCGTATCAAAACATGAACAGTCATTCGTAAAAACTAAGAACAGTGTGTATTCTCTTCACACTATTGTTTCTTTTCAGAAATCATTTCTTTTGCGGTAGTCGTGTGCTTTCTCTTGGAATCTGGTAAAGAGGCAAAAGAAAGAAATGAATTGATCTTTAAATTTAAAACTATATAGAAAAGGTGATCGTAGAGGCGTGGGTGAACGAAAAAAAAGTCGATATAAGTGAAAGAGGAAAAAATGACCAATGGGTATTCTTGAAAAAAATCAATCTGAGAGTAAACTACTCTTGAGCTTAGTAGGAAGGGAAATATGCAGAATGGCGTTATTATATTCTCTAACTCTGTGATATTATTCTGTTTTTGTGGTTTTCGACGCCCTTTAAACAATAATTTCTTCTCATCTGCGTAGGGGTGAAAGGGGGAGGTGAAGGAGAACTTATATATTTTACATTTCCCTCCTAAAAGTCAAGACACACACACACACACACACACAGTTGTAACATATCTATATAGATATAGATATCTAGTTCTTTGTGGAAATAGACTCGAATTCGGTGAAACGCCGAAGCAAACCCAGACCAAACGAAACGGAAGCGAAACCGAACCCAATTCAAACGGAACGCGCGATGCGTGGCGGGAAGAACATCCCGATGGGGCCCGCCTCTTCTTCGATGGCGTTGGAGGCGCGGGAACCCCCGAAGGAGGGCACGCAGCTCGCGCGGGAGGTCATCGCGTGGCTTCAAACCCTCGGGCTCTCCCGCGTCCCCCGCCAACCCCGGCGCGATCTCGCGAATGGCGTCCTCGTCGCCCAGATCTGCGCGCATTACTGGCCCCAACAGGTCTCCGTGAACACCTTTGTGGATCGCGTTCACCTCGAAACGCGGCGGCGAAACTGGATCGCGTTGCGGAAGCTATTGCACCAGAAAGGCCCCGCGGTCGTCGCCGCGCTGTTCGCCCCCGACGCGAGCGACCCCGACGGCGACGGGAAGGCGGGAAACACGGGTGAAACGCGCGGGCGCGCGTCCGACCTCGCGCGGAGGGAGGAGGC